TGCATGTCACTTACCAGTAACCAGCAAAACCAATTGAAAGGAATCACTTTTCAAAATTTGTATAATTTAATCCAGTCATGCATGTATCCACTGTTTAAATAATGACAATTACACTGTTCTCGACATTAAAGAAATTATGAATAATGAGGTTAGGATAGTACAATATTTTAGAAATGAAAAGAGAATAATGTACTATATTTTCATGTTTTCTTTTAATCTTACATTTCATTTATATCTATGGACAAGAATCTATTAATGAGAAAAATTAAAACTATTATTTCGTTTAACAAATTTAATAAATTTAACCATTTAGTTATATAATATATGGATATACAAGGCCGTTCTTGACCTTTTTGGGACCTTAAGCAAAATAGGAAATTAAGGCTTTTAAAAAAATTATAAAATGTAATAAACAAAATAAAAGCATATATTAATAATTTTCTTAAAATAATACATTTTTTAGGTGGCTATAATTTTTTCTAATAAAATTATAAAAAAAATATTTTTTTATTCAAACAACTCCTATATTGTAATTAACTACAAAAACAAAAAAAATATAAAAAATGAGTTTTCTGATAATTCTGAGATGCAAAATCATTAATGATAATATTAACATTAATATTTTTTAAAAATTCTTTATCGATTGATAAAATTGTGAGACCATTCAATAATTCTTGTAACATTGATGACCTTAGGTAGGTTTTGATTAACTTTAACTCTAAAAAACTTCTTTCAATTGATGATATAGTCATCGGGACTGCAAAAAAATTTTTATAAGTAATTAAAACATTTAGATAACAATATGTAAATTTTACAAACTTAATAACTGTTTAATTTTTTGGAGAAAACTAAAATTCTCCATGAGTTTTAATGTTAAGAATAGTAAAATTTTAGAATTAAATAAAGTTTTAAGTTTATAAAAGTCAATGAGTTGACTACATTTATAGTAAGTGAGGTGTGAGAAATTAAAAAATCTTTTTTATTTTTTTTAACTGCAAATTGTAAGAGCTGAAAATTTTTTTAAGTGAAAGTATGACACAATTTTTACTTTGGGTCATCTTTTAAGCTTGGGCCCTAAACGATCGCACCTCTAAATTACCCTCAGAATCGGACTTGTGGATATATTACGTTGACGATGATGCATATAAAATTTTGAGTAAATGAAATGTTTGTAGTTATGTTATTTTATAGTTAAGTCTTATTTATATTTGAGAAAGTATAATATCCATTAAAATGAAGTCAATATATAAAATATTGATTGATTCTTAATTTATATATATATATATATATATATATATATATTAAAATTGATATACCTAGTAAGAAGTTTTAATTTAATGATTATATTAACACAAAATTTAATATTTATAAAAAATATTAAATAGAATAATTTTAACAAAACTTAATCCCAGAGAGTAAATGGGTTGATTCCCACCCTGCACTTTATTATTATTATTATTATCTCTCTTGTTTTCCTTTTTTTTATCTCTTTCATTTGAAATTTAGATTTTCACAAATTGTATATTAAGTAACATGAACTGATCATGTTTATATATATATATATATATATTAGAAAAGAAGTAATTAACCACCCTATTAAAATTTCATATATATATTACGGGAGGATCTGAAAATCTCTCACACTTGCCATGAATAAATGTGAGAGAATATTGTTCAAGAGACACAAAGATTATCATATTTCCTGTGCTTGAAATATATCCAAGAGGTCAAAGTAAACTATTATTCTACGAGGAATTACTTTATGATAAACCGAAATCGTGCATGCATCAAAACTACTTCACAAAATAGAAATCGAATTTTCATTTAGCGATTGAATTATGTAACTTAAGATTACCAAACATCTACAAAAATAAAAATAATTTAATTTTTTACTTTCTAGCTGCTGAGTGGTGCTTCAAAATCAAATCACCTCATGACTTCAATAATATAACCTTCTCATGGATTAGACCGAGTTCACTCATCGAGCACGAGAGAAAAAGATCTCAGCATTATTTGATAGTTATTGAAGGTTGAATTGAAAAGTACTCCAAAAGAGGTGAATTTAATATATTATTATTTATATAAGCAACGAAATTCGTCGTGTATAGCTCTCACTTGTAACCCATCAATTTTCATGTTCTTGGTTCACTTTTTCACTAAAACTATGTATAGTGCTAAATTAATATAATATTATTTTCAGATGTTTTCATTAGTTACACTTAAAATAGTGACTGGCATTATGGGACTGTCATTTGATGTTTGGAATATGAGGACGACAAGCAATATTGTGTAGTCAACATTGTTATATTTAATTCATAGCAATATTGCTGTGTTCCTTTCGCAGTTTTTAATGTCAAGCATTCAGACTTAGAGCACTGACGTTGGCTTTCATGTCTATAGTTATCTTATTGTCTGAAAGTATCTTAAATATCTTAGAAAATAAAATCAACGTGCTGATTTTTTAAGCTAAATCTACAACACTTTTTGACACTTTGTCACGCCTGATTTTGGTGGGAGCTTCCAATCAATTTCTTCAATGCACTTTATTATATATATTCATATGCAATTATATTTATTTTAAATACTCCATTAATTTCAAAACAATTCTCTTAAAGGTAATTTTGAACGATCATTAAGAAAATCATTAAATATTTTTAATTTACGAAATATAAATTCATTTGAAGATATTATCCTCTTAGAAAATATTAGTATGCTATTCTCTATAGTTTCTTTTATAAGAAACAAAATAAAATATTTTTTAGTCTTTATTATAAGAAATAAATAATAAATTTAAGATGAATTAATTGTTATATATTTTTATTAGTATCATTAAATATATAAATTACTAATTATATCTTTTAATATTATGAGTATTTTTAAAATAAAATTAATATTTATGAAAAACATAACTTATTTAATTACTTTTCTTAATACTAATGATTTAGTCTTATTTTTTATAAAAAAATTAGAGAAAGTATCACGTAAACTTTCCAATATAAAATATGATATAAATATTATTTTAAGTGATTCTGATATTAATATGTTTTTATATAAAGTTTTCATTCACAGGTCACATGACGTATATATTTATATATACGTAAAGCTATCAAATAGATCAACTAGATAAAATTTGAATCAAATATAGAATAAAAATAAATTATTAATTTTTATAATATATTGAAATTGTGTTTAAAAATTAATCCATTCATAATTTATTTAAAAAAATCATTTAGTCCATCTGACTTTATAAAATAATAGTACACAATAAAAAAATTTTAAAAAATTAAAATGATATACCCTTACAATTTAAGAAACTAAAATAAGTATTTATTCGTCATAATTCAATGAATAAACCAGGTTTGTGGCGTGGTGCAATTGATTGATTTCTTTCATATTAAAAATTGATTTATAGTGCTAAATACCAAAATTGGCAATCTTAAACAATAAATAATGGGCATCCAGCATCTTCTTAACCCTACAAAGTCTGTCCCTTCTGCACGTTAAAAGGAAATAATAAAAATAGAAAACTAGTGAATCATTTAGACCACTCTTTCATTTGGTGATAGTCTCACATCACCTCAAAATAAAATGTATTGATTATGATCTCTAATGGATCAATAAGTAAAGGGTGAGCAATTGATATCAAATCAACTTAAGGCATGCATTGTCCCCTTTGGAGGTATCAACCATCCTTTCTCTCTTCTACCTTTTCCCTCACTTTTTCTTCTGCAGCTATATGCATAAATCCACACATATGACATTTTCGCTCAATTCTCCCATTCAAAAGCAATAATTAGATACAGCAAAATTCTTAGGATACTAACTTAATGATTTTCATCATAGAATTATTTAATTTATACCTATATTTAAAATATAAAAAGTTCCAAAAAATTAATATATATTGAATATTTCTTGAAGATATTCTCTTAGAAAGTGACTTCATCAATTTATCAAAGTACATGCACATGTATATAAAAAAACTTCCGTTTCTTCTCTACTCCCTGTATTATAACTGAGCCCATCAATAGACAGAACATTTAGTTAGTGTCTTGAAGATTTAAAGGAAATATCTACCTTGTAGACCAAAAAAAATCTTAACTTTGTAATGACAGTAACTATTTTTCACCCATTATAATAAATCTCAAGTTACTTTACCTTACAATTACCGATTTGACTTTAATTTAATACATATTAATATCATAATATGCAGGGCAATTCATAGATCACAAGTTACATGCACTTTCCCAAAAAATGTTATTTATTCAACTCATTTTTACAAAATAAAATATAATAATAAAAGAAAAACAAATGAATCTAAACAATTAAAACATTTTATTCTGGTATTCTCTTTCCACCAAGTTCAAAATTACACTGCAAGATAATGGCATGACAAACTGGGAGTGGGAGCATGAAGACAACCGAAAGGGTAACACGGAATCCCATGCCCCACCCAAAAAGAAAATAAAAAGCATTGAGAAAAAGGGGGAAAAAGAAAACACAGCCCTCATCATGATGTCTGTGGGGACTTCAATTCCAGCATATGCATCTTTCCAGGTAAGGTAAGCAAGTCTATCTCAACATGCACACTTTCCTTCAATTATCACTAACCATTCAAACAAAGCAAAATAATGTTACATTACAACACATCAACAAATCATAAATGATGCTTACTTAACCCTTTTCTTTTCCTTATAAATGAGTTCTATCAGTGTATGAACAGAAATAACATAACACACTCAAATGTAGACAAAATAAAACACAAATATTTTATATAAATTTAAATGAAGTATAGCATATAGCTACTCTTTTCATATTTCTATAAATAATTTGAAAAGTGAAAAATAAATTATAGTAGGGAAAAAAGTGTAAAAGTCAATCAAGGACTTTTTCACAAATCTCTCTTTTTCTTCAAACCTTTGTTTTTTTTAAAATTGTTGTGTGTATCTCTATATATATTATAGCCTAAGCTCCATATCGAACAATAATAATTAAAATAAAGCACAAGCTCCACATTGTGTTTTCCAGGGAATTTTCCGGCAACTGCACCGGTGAACGTCGCCGGAATGGACCAGTCATGGAGAATTGGCATGGGTTTAATGCGGGGTCTCCCTCGTCGGCGATCGGTGGAGGACCGGTCATCTTCCCGCCGCCGGCGCTCCACCTTCTCCAGCTCCCAGTCGGAGACCGTGGACGCTGACGACTTCGCCGACGTCTTTGGGGGCCCCCCGCGAACCCTCCTCGCGCACAAATTCTCGAACTCCAGCTCGTTCTATGAGGAAATTTTCCGTCCGCCGGAGTTCACATCTCAGGCGCCGAAGGGTGGCCGTAGTCTGCCGGTGTTTAGGATTCCGGCAAGGAACGAGGGGTTTTACAGCGACATTTTTGGGTCAGACGATGACCGGAAATCGAGAGAGCGATCAGGGTCGTTGTCGAAGGCAAATTCTTCGTCGGCACTGAGTTCCGAGGAGCTAAGCCCTCGCCGGCCGACGATCGGAGATGACGTGGCACTATCTGGTTTTTCTTCAAAGCTTAGGTACCGTTAACGGTTAAGAAGCTCGCTGAAAAACATAACAAAAAACCTAACTTTTTTCGCAAATTGACATTTATGCCCTTTGTCAGCAGATATAGTTGGCGGATGCTCTCTTCTTGTTCTTAAGTGTGTGGAATTGAACAATTGATTCTATGTTTATTTTTAAAATTTTTATTTTCAAAGCTCAATTCTCTCTCTCTTTTTCTGTTAGGTTCACATAAAGTGATAGTCAGAATATTTTAGCTAAATATTACTGCACGCTTGTGACTTGTATTTATGTGCTTTTGAAGTTAAAATTGGTTCCATTTCTTATAAACATTTTAAAATGCTGATAAAGAAAAGTGATTAATTTTTTTAAAACAAACTAACCATATATCCATGCAAATATTCATTAGAGAAATCATTGATGACAAACATTTGATCGTCCCATGTTGTTGTTTCTACTACTATGTAGCCTTTCTAGTTTCCATCGTAAGGTTAATTTCGTTTGTGGAATTTTATTGAAAATTAAGAAATTATTTGAAAGAATTTATAAAAATATCTTATATTTTTTGAATTTATTTTGAAAAAAAGTTTAGTATAACTTATCAAGAATTTATTTTAGTTTATTACAAGAAATTTTTATAGTTAAATTTATAAGATAACATTTTATATAAAAATATCTTATTAAATAAAGGTTAATTTAAGCTGTTCTGAGTGCTCTCAGTGATTGCTACAGACCAATAAATGTCCCATGGAGATGGAACTCAGCAACTATGATGGCCGAGACTGAAGAATACCCAAGAAAACAAGGGGTGCCACTTTTTCCATTCAGTGGTCAATCATTTGAGATTCAACATGAGGATAATGAGTACAACTACAAGGATAACTTCAAAAGCTCCCACATGGGATTCTCAAGAAGAGTCTCATCCCCAGAAACCATTAGTCTTGAATCCAATTCATATCAAAGCAGCAAAGTATTCACTGATGACTGGGAGCTCAATTCTCCATTTTCTGCTGTCTCTTCACTTTGTCAAGAACCTGAGCCAAAATTTTCAGTGCATGATCACATGCTTTCAGAACAAATTATAGAAGGGGATGATGGTGATAATGACGATGATGATGAAATTATGAGCTCTTATGTCATTGAACTTAATTGCAACCTCAGAAGAGAAGAGTGTGGAGCATCAGACATTGATGAAGCAATTGCATGGGCCAAAGAGAAGTTTCAATCGCGAAGCTCTGAGGAAGAATCAAGCATGAGAAGTGATGGCAATGAGCAAACTGTTGGAATAGAAGGTGATTGTTCTAACAAATAAAATGGCTTGTTACAAAATTAGCACCACAATTTGGCCCTGAAAATCATATTTGTGTCTTTATGAAAATGCAGGAAGACATGATGCAAAAGAATACCATGATGGTGGAAACCGAATAGTTCATTCTCCAAAGGTAATATATTGTATTGGATAAGCGTAAGTAAGTATCAGCATCATTTTACTGATAAAGTGTAACCAGAATTGTTATGAAAGTAAATTTTGAAATATATTGGGTTACAAAAGTGGAAAAAGAAAGACAATAATTTAATAATATTGTAATAACCAATCTTTTTTGCAGTGATTTCAATTCAACCATTCCAGGCTTAGCTTATCCTTAAAGATTGAAGACAATCCATAAAGTAAATCAAATTAGAATGAAAAAGATGTAACCACAAATTTAAGTTTAAACATTATGCATCCTACCCCAAATTACGTGTTTATTATTTTCTATAGCAGTTAAATCTCCCATACTTTGTATAGGAAATGGTTTATATAAGGATTTTCCTTTGTTTTCTATTTCAATTACATGAGAATAAAGATTTAGATTGATAGCTGTGCTTTTTCTACAGAAGCAAGAGACAGGCACAGAGAAGTTGGACAGAGATATAAGATTGTGGTCATCTGGCAAGGAAACAGACATCCGGCTACTGCTTTCTACACTACATCATGTAAGATTATCTTTGTTGTTCATTTCTTGTTACTCATAATTTCATGAAATCATGTAGAGTTTAGGATGCATTTAGATAAAAGGCTTAATCAAGCACTTATTCAGTAAAAAAGATGAAACTTACTGCAACAAATTAAATGGATTATTTTAATAAATTATACCAAAAAGCTTATTGAAATAAGTAAAAAATATCTTACTATAGTCATAAACTATTTTCATAAGTTCACTGAGGTAAGAGAAAATTTGACTTGTATGTATTCTTTATCGCCAGATTGTACGGCCTGACAGTGGCTGGCATGCTATTCCTCTTACGTGTCTAATAGAAAGCTCACAAGTGAAGAAGGCTTATCAGAAAGCAAGGTTATGCCTGCATCCAGACAAACTGCAGCAAAAAGGAGCAACACTCCTACAGAAATACGTGGCAGAAAAGGCTTTCACTATTCTTCAGGTATGTATGTAAACACACATATACCGTCTTATATATGGATAAGTTCTGATGTTAAGTTTCCTCAATGCTAAATCTCAATTCACATTGGAACAGGATGCATGGGCTGCATTCATTTCTGAAGATGTTTCCTTCTAACCAGCAGATGACTCTAATTCTTGATAATGATAACCATTTTTCTTGAGAGTTGTGGACAACATTAAGCTTGACATGTGGAACGATGGGAGTGGTTGTTGACATGCAGCAGATAAACGCTAAATACATGAAACTTGAAAACATAATCTCTTTTGTACAAATAGTTACTGATGGATTGACTGTTTTATTTATGTTTGTATCATAAGTTGTTTGATGCTTTGGTAGGGGTATTAGTTCTGAAGTAGAACAGGAAGTTATTTAATTGGTCTTAGTGTTTGATTTGTATATGATGACATGGGAGCTAGAATTAGTTTGTACTATTGACATGCAACCCTTATATATTTATCCCTGTTGCAATCCATCTCATTAACTACAGGAGAATTACATGAGCACTTTCTGCTAAATTAGTAGATGTCCTTAGCTTATTATGTCTATGATTCTATGAATTTTTGACTTTATTGCAAGAGTAGTTCATGTCAAAAATTAGAAAGGAAGCATAGTGTAATACTACCATGTTGGATGTCTTCCTATGAAATTATTTTTATTTGGTTATTTCTCAATCAACATGTTCTCTAAATCGACTATAACTACATTTTTTACACCTGTGTTAATGCGCTATTCAATATTTAGTTTAAATTGAAAGAAGAGTTTTGCAGAGTATGGGATTTAGTGTATACCTTTGGAGCTTATTTTTGGATTTGGCAATTGGCACCCACAAGGTATCGGCTTGTTGGGAATAAGAAGAGAATTCGAAGACTTAGAGAAGAGTGTAAAAGCATCTTTTGTTATTGTAGGCATGTCCTAGATTATCGAAATGTCATGCTATTGTAGGACATGCATACTTGTCTGAAATCTGACGGGCTAAAACATGCGGTTTATCAGATACACTATTTAAAATTATCTGTTTACTTTGTTGACAAAAAAAAAGAAAATAAACTTATTTAAAAAATTTAAAAATCATGGTGTTTCAAAATATTCGTCAATTAACTAAAAATACTTCTTTTAAAATAATATTTATTAGTTTATTTTTCACTTAAATTCTTTATGAATTTACAAGTACACCTAATTCTTTTATTAAAAATATCATGGTTGAAAGAAAACTATTTTATTATTTGTAATTAATAATTTTAAAGAGATAGAATATTTCATTTTGCCTTGATACTCATTCTATCAAATAAATTTTATTAATGTTACTATTTATCAACTTATTTGCTAAAATAGATAAATTTTTAATTAGAATATACAATGCTAGGATTCGATCATGAATTATATATATATATTAAAAGTCATATAGAAACTCTAATGGTCCCGTAATCACTTTCAAACCTCAGCAAAGGAGGAGAGTCATATTAATTCTTCAACAGCTAACATAAAATCTGTCGAAACATATACCTGATTTCCAATTAATTGACCTTTACCCTAACAACGTATAAAAAATTAAACTCAAAACTTCCTTAAAATATAAAAATCAATTAGTATTTCATTGAACTATTTTATATATGTACACGTATGTGTGTGTGTTAATTATGCCTAATTTATTTTGATTTTTGACATACGTGATCATCTCAGTAATGAGATGATGAAATTGACATTTATTCATCAATGAAAATGTACACTTTACTCCTAAACAAAAACGGAAAATTGGGGGGGAGGGGCCGGGTATAGGAAATTTCCAATTAATACACGTTAAAGAAAGGCCAAGGTCTAAACACAATTCCATCATAAAAGAAATGTCATTTCCAGTATTTACAATTTGATGCTCAAATTACAGTCTTTGAAGTAAATAATTGTTCGATAAAAACTTCAGTCTTCTACATCATTAATTGGCAATACACATTGATGCATGATCTCTGCCTTGCTGAACAACCGTTTCCCCTTTATAGTATTTGCAAGTGCAAAGGGAAGAGAAAACATGTCTGTGACAACCACACTGAACTCTAACGAGGGAGACAATATGCCAAGGATACCACGTATAGTTTGGACAAATAACCTAGAATCCTGCAAGAGTTAAGTAGGGGAAAGCACAAGTTCAATCGGGACAAGGTTACAGGGGAAAGCACAAGTTTGAGCCAAGTACTAATTTAACTCCTCTAAACTGAGAAAGTAAGGGTTCATCCACCCTTAATTTAATGGGGATAAAGTTGACAAGTAACTAAAATTTAAATAAAGAGGTGACACAATCTTACTTTCTCACTTTACATACATATTCACTTTAAAGGAGTCAAATCCAAAAAAGTAAAGTCACAACACTTTGTTTATCAAATTTTTAAGCTAGAAGTTATAACTTAAAAACATTACACACTTACAAGGAAATGGAAACACCCCACACTCAACAAAATCTCAGAGTTGACCGTGACTTCTGCTCAGAGAGTGGTTGCGAAGAAGTTTTTGATCAGGTGCTTGCTGATCATTCTGCTGCAAGAAATTCAAGTGGGAGGGGAAAATATCACTAACTTCTACCAGATTTCAGTTTTGAGAGAAGAGGGGGGGGGAATGACAATAAATTGTCCAAAGAACAGTAAAATTTGATTTAAAAAAAAATAAAATCAAAGAGAGCTTCAATAATTCATACGAAGGGCTGGCTAAGACATATATTGAAAGGAAAATGTTGAAAGAAATGCCTCTAATACCAAAAGAGCAAAAAGGAACTGCTGGCTATACATATATTGCTAAATAACTAATAAAAACGTGTCATACAAGACAGGGGTTTATATGGTTCAATGGTAAGCGGCTAAGCATGCTACATGATATATAGTTCAAGCACTGAATTTTATGCAGATCCATGAATGTACAGTCATTCTCAACTTACCAAGACATGCATTTGAGGTGCTAACAAAGTAAACAAACTGATAAATCTCTACTCCAGCGTTCTATGGATATCAATACTTCTGCTTTAACAAAAATACTATTATCTGGAAATAGCTTTACTCAATGAAATCTAGTCATGTATATGTATGAACTAACTAAATATACAGTAAAAAATTCTATTAACATAAAATAGAAATAGATGGCTAGGGAGATTTTAAAAAATAGTGAAGGAAAGTTTATGAAGCAAAGTGAAGAAAATAAAAGAAGAGTCACCTTTCTCTTCAGAAATTTAACGAGGAAAGGCAGGAATTTTTTGCATGCTTGGGAGGGAGACTTAAATGAACAAGGGGAGGAGATGTAAATTAGAAGTCCTGGATTTGATAATTTTTTAATATAATTTTTTTCTTCTTTTCACTCAATTATGGAGAGGAATAGATCCTGCCCTCTAGAATGTGAGTCAGCGGGTGAGACACTGCATTACTTTTTCCCAAATAGGAAAAAGAGAATCAAACAAGCCTTTAGATGTCTCATCCCTTTACTTCCTACTGGTGTTCCAATACACCATATGATTCTTTTTTTGTCCTTCCAACAAAACAAAAATGGGAATTGCATAGTTCACTCTTAAAAAAGATATCCAATCACTAAAACAAGCAAAAAAACAGGTGAGGAAAAAGGAGAAGTGTGAATTAAAGTAGCAAGGAAGTAGGTAGATACATTGAAATAGTTTACTGAGACTTGTGTTAAATCCAGCTGTTCCTCTAGATCCTAGATACATTGAAATAACTTATTTACAAACCAACACTAGGTCTGCCATCTTAAATGATGAATATGAATTCTCAGTGCTGCAATGTAAAAGTAGTTTGTCTTGGTCTAGATGTCTTGTATCAACAAGCAAATGCATTGATGTCTTGGTCTACTTACATTGTATCAACAAAAAAGTAGTTTGTACAAGAAACTCAAACTTACAATCAAATAAAATGAAATAAATTCATAGCTGTCTGCTCTCGTCATGACTCAAGGTTTATTGTTCGGCTCAACAAAATTACAATTGGGCAAAAATGGAGAAAAAAAAAACGATATGTTTGATAGACAAACCTTGTACAAAGATGCAGCAGACTCAGATGGTACTGTCGGCATGGCATTATGCCCCAAAGATCGCAAAGCATCCAAAGCATCTAAAGTCAGCTGCCAACCGCAAAGTGCAGCATCACTACTAGTGCTTGGAACAGAACTAGCACAGCCAGCGGCAGCAACATTGCCATTCACCCAAGGGCAACATTGGTTGTGATAAACAATAGGATCAAATTCTACAGCTTCTTCATAATTACTTTCTCCTTTTGGGGGGCCTAAATAAATGAAGAATGTCAGTGGTTATGCTCCAAAAATATGTAGCAACTAATTGATAAAATGAAACAGGACCATGGAATAAAATATAATATCCATATTCAATTTGATGTTTGATAAAAAGCTGTCAAGGACAAGAGTACAAATAATAGGACATTCAAGGACAGAACAAGAGGGGAAAAGAGTACTACCAAAAGATCCCCACCAACCAAAAGCTGAACAGCCTCCAGGAACTATTCGAAAAAGGCCCTGAAACCTATAGAATAAAGGAAAGCCTAGCTATACAAACTCAAGTAATCCACATAACAGGTACTATTTCTATCCAGTAGTAACTCAATCAAAAGATAGCCCACCTTACAGCTCATATGTGATGGCTGTCACAAATCAATTATGACCAATAAAGCACATGTTCTCCTTAAGGGGTTACCCTAACATATGTATATTGTAGGGGACTTGGCCAGCTTTACTACATTGAAATTTTCAGTTATTTTATTTTCTTGGTTATGGAGGATCCTTAACCCTCCAAATTCCAAGTAATATTCTCCTATGAGTCTTAATGAATTACTTCCTTTTTAAAGAAAAAAATATATAACAGAAGTTCTAGTGAGATAAGTGGATCAAATGGAAAATTGTTCAAGCAAAGAGATAGATGAATACTAACTAAAACTTCAGGAGAAATCATTACAAAAAAAAAAAAACATAAATCTGAATGATATTTTAAAAATTTGGTGTTTGATAGAGCACAGTGGGTGGACATAGATGATCCCACCTAGGACCACAATTGATTGGTGTTCTATTATAAACAATAATAATAATAATAACCTGCAGCTTTTCTTCAGCAATGTTAAACATTGAACTATTCTCTATTATTTGTCAATACCAGATGAAGATTCCCAACTTAACCATTAACACTAACTTTCTAAAAAGGATATCTCTAGATTAATTCTAGGGTCCATACAACAAAAGCAAGTCAAATGAACACTAAAGCAATTACATGGAGCAAATGAGGAACAAATAAATAAGAAGCAAGCAAGTGGATAAGTCTGTATTTATGCCCTCTTTTACAGCTTAGATATTTATATTTGACCTTTATTTGATTTGAGTTTTACACTGATTCATATATTAATTGTGCAGCTTAGTATAAAGAGGTCACAAGTGTATTTTGAGTTTATTTTGGATCCAAGTTGATGAAAAATCAGAACTTTGCAGTAGTCAACACGTATAGACCCTTTCAATAAGCACAAGGTACTTCGAGTCTATCTACGACCATGCTTATAGCCTTGCACGGCCATACTCTGCGGCAAATCTAATTATGAATAGCTTCTAGGGTTTTAAAACCCTATTACAAAAGGACCTCAGGCATCGTCTTATCCTTGTTATGTAATACACCTCTCATATTTCTATCCTACCCTTGATCTTTTGGCACACTCTTGACGGGACCTGAAGTTTTGAGTGATCATGTTTAAAGACTGAGAACTCATTTCATCTCTAGTTTGTTATTTCTCATGATTATGACTTTGTTTATGAATGTTTTGGTTGTTTTCTCTAGCATGAATAACTAAGTCTATAATTAAGTTTATAAGAATTTTTGTTTATAAATTTATAAGATTTTGAAGTTTGAATTTATTTTTGATTTCTGTGTGTAAGTAGTGTTTATCCTACTACATATAATTGTATAATCTTAATTAATTATAATGTCAGACGACTGTGTCTCGATTAATTAATGAATTTATAAGATAAAACGAAATAAAAAATTAGATGGACCAAATCAATCTTTTTCTTTCAATTGTTATTAAATTAACAAGTTCATAAGTACTTTATGCTTTTTTGAATTAATATCTTACGTAACTATTATAAATGTTAATTTAGAAAAAAGAATGTTAATATTTCATGATCATTGAACAATGATAGTATTTGTATAAATAATTGATAATCACAAGAAAATTGAACTTAAAATTAAATAAAAAAATAATAAAAGATTGAATAAAAAACTCATATATACTAGGTTCCTCTAAATTCAACCAAGACATGTATTGTATTAATTGTTTTTATTCATAATTTGTGTTATAATTAATTTCTTATTTTTATTTAATTTCGCATTTTCTAGACTTAAACAATTGAATTAAAAAATTTTTAGTAATTAGAACCAATTCTTGTGAAATGATAATTTCAGAAATTTATTTTAGAACTCTATTATTTTTCGACAAGTACACTTATCCACCAAATAGGTACATACAACAAAAGGAAGTCAAATAAACGCTGAAGCAATTACATGGAGTCAATGAGGAACAAATAAATAAGAAGCCAGCTGATATGGGAGTAAGAAGAGATTCAAGATTTAAAAAATTGAAGCAGGACAGAGAAGTCAATTAATAATAGTTTAAAAAGAAAAGCTGTTTTATGACCTTTAATTTTTTAATTTTTTTATGATCCTTGCATTATTTCAGTTAATATGGCAGAGTTTAAATCTTATTAAAAAACTCTGTGGTGAGATATAATAAAGTTCTGGAAGATTGTTCATTTGTCAATCAAGTTTTATTTTGCCAACCAATTACTAGGCCTGATATATTTGGTAAAAGGAATACTTATAAATGTTATCATTTAGAATTTTCTTGTTTCTTGGCAAATTTGGGGTTCTTAATTAGTAACTACTACGACACCTGTTAGAATAATACCCATATAAATCTTAGAAAGTAGGAAACAAAATAAAAATAAAGTGGCAGTTAATTATTGCTTTAAACAGAAAATGTTTTCTCAAAACAAACAGGGCACTAAGTTGACGATACCATTTCAAAAATAAATAAATAAACCTTTTTCTCACTAGGTATAGTTGGCTAGATGGATCTAACACAATTGTATTCTATCATGAACCAAGTCCTGAGAAGTCCATTTAGATCCAAATCCTTTTTGGTTGTCTCAACTAGATTTTTCTTGGCCTCACTCATATTTAACGGTTAAACTATACTCCATTGATCCACTCTTTTTATTGGGATTTTCATTTATTGATTTTCTCTCAACATGACTAAACCACTCAAGGGCAAGAGCCTACCATCCCTTCCTCAACGGTTGCTACTCCACCTCTACTTCTCCCTAGCATATATTCCTGATTGACTGCTATGGCACGAACAGGCAGGGTAACAAGCAAATCAGTTCAAGATAATTAAAATACAGAGGTTACCTATCCCATTTGCAATGGCAAAATCTGATTCAAGGAGAGTAAAATTGTTGGCAAATGATGATTTACCATCCTTCATGATCTCTTCCTTAGTATTTTCACAATCAGAGTAAATAGAGGCATTACAAGAACGAGACGGATGACCACTATTAGCCGGTAGTGGATTGCAGTTTTGACTAATTTTTTCACCACTTTCAACAGATTCTGCCTTTGTAGAACAACCAATTTTTGACCCACTGTCTGTCCTTCCTGCCGAGTGAGACATCATCTCCTGGCTATCACCAATAGGATCTTCCCTGTTCATATCATCAGGGATAATCTCATCCATTAGACCTGGATCCGGAACAGATTCACCAGTCTGTCCCTGATTTTCAGCATCTTCTACCCTCTGTTCCATTTCCCCAAATACACTATCAGCTCTGTGTACAGATATATCTGCACCTCGGATTTCAGCTTCATGACTAGCACACATTCCAACACTTCCTCCACTAATGCCCAAACTAATTCCTTCTCGAGCTTGAGCAGTCACAGTTTCTGCATTGAAAAGTTCTTCTCCATAGTTTGTACTACTGACACCCACTTCACCAGGGACAACTTCAGTAGCTGTTTGTAAGCAAGTGCTTTGCTGTGCTTGATTGCTGTTATTCAGTTCAGATGTTTCATTCATGTCCACATTGCCATATGTGCTAGAGGAGGGGAAATGAACATCATCAAGGTCTCCTGGGTAGTTTTCAACACTTTCCATGGAATCATCATTTACACTATGACACATTGTGTCCATTGCAATGACAGATGATGCACGGGTTGAGTCCCTGGCTGATTGGATACCTATTGGGTGGTCACTACCTTGATGGAATGAAGAAACTCGATTGCCAGCAACATATGCCTCAAAACCCATTGAATGGCTGGGACCAGCACCAGATGAGTCTCTTTGATGAGGTGAACCATATGTGTCAAAAATATCAGAGTCACGTGCACGTTTTGAAGGACCAGCTGAATATTGTCCACCATCTGTCACTTCATCTCCATCACGATCAATGACAGTTCCTTCAACACTATCAGCCTGCTGCTGCAACCTAAGAATTGGCCTATCATCTGAGCTTCCTCCTTTTTCAAGATTTCTCTTACGAGAACTTGGCCCTCGTGATTCATATGAAGCTGCACGATCACCAATCTCACTCCCCGAAGGCTGTCCAATCATTAAATCCCTTCCCATATCTTCATCATGAGTATTTTCAGATGTTGCTGTCCTGCCCAAGGGATTAAAAGGAAAACCCCCAGCCATGGTAAGATTTAAGTCTAAATCTGTGTTAGCCAACAATTTCCCCTCATTTGTAGCAACTTCATCACGGTCATCAGTCTGATCTTTCTCTGTATCATCAGCTGCAATCCAACCACTGATTCCACTAGCTGCACTCACTCCACGAGTCAATCCTATTTTTTTACTAGTATCAGGAATATCTATACTGTTTGGTGCAAAGCGAGTAGGACGAGGAACAGTTAAAAAATCTGAAATTCTAACTGTAGCACCACATAAGCTACAATCAAGCAAAGGTGACCTAGAGTCAAGTCTAGACTCCTTAAGAGATGCCTTTGCCTTTCTGGCATCCATTTTAGTAGAAGCAGAAACTGCTTTTGGACCAGGATCTTGAGTAAGATGGAGTTGAGTCTTGCTAGGGCCAAAAGAATATCCATTTCTTTCAGATTGAGCAGAGTGTTCTTCACAATCTTGAACATTTAAAAGCCATCTTGGTTCCCAACCACAAAGGCCTATAAGCTTCTGTGCCTGCCAAAAGGAGGATCCATTAATAGAAAATAAGCATGTGACAGAGCAACAAAAGTATTAATTTGACATAAAAAAAAAAAAACTTACACGAGAATATAAGTAGTATGCCTCATCCTGAGAGTTTTCAGGCTCAGATAAAATCTCTGGTTTAAGGTCTACTTCTCCTGACATAAAATTCTGAGACTGCGATAGAAAGCGTTCAATTTGTGGGCCTCGGGAAATAGACATCAACTCAATTGCAGAAATCGATACCACAGGAAGACAGTGAAATTGTACGAGCCCATCACATCTATCCTTGTAGCCACCAATTAATGCAGATGGAGCAGCTGGAGGGAACTGCACCAGACTTTCTGGACAGCTATTACCTTTCCAAGGGCAATTAACCTTATGCCCCGAATCAAGCTGCCTGGCAAAGGATTCGCTGGCATTTTGAGCTTTGCCCATTGCAATAAGAAAACAAGTTAAAAACAGTTAATGAATATAATCAGCAACAACAGTGAAGTTCCTTTAGCCTTAGGTATCAGTTAAAACTTGCTTTAAAAACTATATCAAAATAAGATTACACCAATCTAGCTGTTGAGATAAAATATATATATAAAAGGATCTCAAATGATTTGGACTGCATAATAATTTCTTGGATATTTAAAGATTAATTACTTAATCCAGTATGCATAACTTATATATTGTCCCTCTAGTTTTAATTTTGTATAAAGTCCTGTTATACATGACATATCCTATATGAACCTTGGGACAAAGTGCTACAATTTACAACTATTATTATACTTACATGCTAACAGCAATCATAACAACTATTTCTCAACCAAATAAAAAGTAAAAAGCACAAAATCAGAAATTAATTGTTGATGGGACAGTCCCCACATTGACAGACAAATACATTCTTTGATAGAAAAAATAAATTGTAAGAGACCATGGAAATACAACTAGGACTAGGAAGAGAATAACAAAACCCTCCAAAACATGAAAACAGACATATGCAAGGAACAAGGGGGAAGGGGGCCACTCAAGAATGTAACAACCAAGGCTGGTCTCCAAATATCAGAACTAGCAACAGCCCCACCCCCATCCTCCCTGGGGAAAATATATGAGCTGAATACCTAAGAGAAATAAAAACCATAATGCTACCCCCATAAAAACTATACGTATTAAGCCTTGAATCTCTTTTCAAAGGAAACAAATTATGTAACATTAAGCTATATTCGTTTTTTTTTTTGACAAATGGAACCTCATAGGCAGCAGCATTGCTTTTAATGTTCTATATATGCACTAAGCTAGGAATGACACATTTATGTTTGGGGATTTATAAACAGTAAACCCATAAAAGTAAAATCCTTGTTTTTACCACTGTGAATTTCATCCTATAATTTTCTTGAAACTCCTCCCACCTCCTACATCTGCCCTATACATGGGATGCCTCAACAAAGTAGGCCTTTCATCCATGGTCTACATGAAAGGATTGACTGTCCTTTTAATTTCTACCCTAGTTATTATTAACAAGCCTCATTTTAGAGAAAACATGGAGTTTATAAGCAGGATGCAGAAGCCGAAAGTACTTAGATTGCAAATTTGCAATCACCAACCTTCAGCTGATGTCCAAGATGGCGATGATGTAAAACTCAGGCATGAACCACATGACTCGCAAGCAATTTTGTCCACACCAACATTCATCCAACCTTTCTGAGCACAAGCCAATGAACTGATGATCTGGAAGAAATTAAAGAGGACATGTGATCCCTGGAGACTGCCTCATATCTACTTAGAGCATTTGTAGAGTGCATTATATTATCTACACATGCCCAATAGTTAAAGTTTATGTCTCACAGATCAAGATAATTTCTTTGGACCAATACTTCATGCAAATGTGACATTAAAATTAATTTATGTAGACAAAATAACTAGGAAATTCACATCACTAAACACATAGAATCAGATCCCCACATAGGGCCAAAGCTTTCAATTACTGCAAGTGATGTTTATTATCTTTTCTTCGTTTGACCATAACTCAAAAAGACTATAAACAGATCATAATTCAATTGGTAAGAAAAATTTATTGGGAATTAAGGATTAAAACAATTATGAGTTCGTTCCAAAATTCATAGAAGTAGATACAGCCTTGTCAAAAAAGTAAATTCAAATAAACAAAATAAAAGACTAATTAATTTGTCAGGCAAAAACAGTAAAGTCAATAAGTTTAAATTTTTTAAGGTTACCAGGAATCCTTTTTTTTTTTTTTTACAAAAAGATAAAGCAAAATATTTTTCAACAGGAGAAAAGAATCACAAAATACATAAATCTCTTTATATTTTTCCAGTGAATGAAATTGATAAGAAATACAAGGGAAGTAGAGTTAGAAAGAGGATAAGATATCCTACAGAACAGAGAAATCATGATAAAATAAAGAACATGAAAGAATCAAGAATGTAGCAGGGCTGCCCAGTCTGACTACACGGCAGTATTCAGAAATGGCCATTGACTCCCTTGAAAAATACCACAAGCAGAAAGACAAAGAAAAACCATTAACATAACCCCATTCCATAACAAGTTTATGGGCAAAATGATACCCTTAAAGATATGAGTGTTCATCTCCACCCAAATGTACCAAAGAACTAAATGACTGCACTATGGCACAGAAATTTAGCCTCCATTACTATTTTGGGTTATAGGGAGCTAGCGGGATATTCACAATTGTCTAACAAAATATCCACTATTTACTTATAATAGCACTCAATTCAGTATTTTTTTTTTTTGGGGGGTGGGGGGAGCAATTAATTATAGGAAAATTTGGGAAATAGCAGCTAAAGCAGTTGAATTGTGAATAGGAAGTTGGAATTGCCAAATTTACCAACCATACATGGTCGTACACGTAGAGAATTTAACAAAGGAATTGAGATATTTACACTGCTGTAGAAACATGCCAGCAGCTGTCAGATTAGAAAGCTGAAATTAAATGTATTCTTTAGTGCCTCAAACTGCAAAAGATGGAAGGAAGTTTGCAGTTTTTCAGAAGTCAGGAGCACATGCAACAGAGGGTTTCTACTTTCTACCACTGACAATAACCAGTTTAAGATGCAAGAGATGATAGAGGGGTATGTCTGTACACTTTCTGTTCATTATATAATTTATAAGAATAAACAGAAACTATCAAAAGGGTAATCACTACAGGCTTAAGACAACTATATGCATTGTTCAATTCATGCAAATAACATTTGTTCTCTTAAGTGTACAAAATATCAATATTTAGATATTGGAAACAAATGAAAGTTAAACAGCTACCCACAAGGAAAAAATGGAGGAAAATGTACATATACATAATGAACTACAATATATTTATGGAAAACCATGGTCAATTCAAACCTGAGGCTTCCCAAGCCAATTTAAAGGACTAAATGTGGCCAAACGTCTTAATAAATCTCCCCTTTCCCACGGTCTACATGAAAATCTTGAAGAATCAAAAGCAGAACCACCAGCACTTGTGCTCAAGGAAGTCCATGGTGGTTGTGAACCAACACATGAGAGAGAAGCCGCTTTAGAGACTTGTCCATGACTTGACCCATCTATGCTGCCAACATTCATTGGAACAGCAGGGGATGATGCCCCAGCAGAACTGATAAAATGTATGAATAATTAGTCAAATAAGAAAGTCAAATAAATAACATCTAGACAAGAGAACTGAATGACCCATAAAAATACAACATTTTGCCATCACCAGCCATACATCATATATGCATTAAGTTCATATCCATAGAAATTCAAGAAATTATCTTGTTTACTCGAAGGGATGTGATACAGTGAGGATCTAGCCTCTAGTGTGTAGTAGAGAGAGCAGGTGAGGTACCCAATGGATATATTTGATAGGGAAAAATGGGAAGAGGGTGATAGACCATAAACCATGAGTCAAACAAAAGGTAAGGTGATGCTTCTTTACTGTTCCAAGTTAAAGGAAGCCTAAGTAGTTAATAACTGCTTCCCAATGTAGACTCCTTATCAAGTAACTTAAGCCTTGACCTCACCGAAAAGCCTACTAGTTTCCTAGAGGAAGGGCAGCATCCCTAAGTTCTGCATTAGTCAGAGGCAACAAGCTCGTAAAACCACCAACGCTTAGACATTCATGCCTGACATAGTTAACTGGAATGCCATAAGCAAGCATAAACTTTACTAAAATGAGCCCCTCATGTTAGTTCTTCCATGATTATGCACAATATCTATATCTATGAACAAAAGGACCCACTAAATGGTAAACAAATTACTTGGGAAGTGCCCTTTTGCTCCTTTATGATCAAACAAGACAAATTCAATACAAGTGTGTATACGCAAAAGCAAGAAATACACGGTAAGTAAGGGAACATGCAAAACAATTCAAAAGCACAACAAAAAATAGTTGAATGATGCATACATAAACTTAGCACAAACAGCACGACATCATTTTTCTTTTTTTTCACGTTAGATCCAATTCTGGAGGTGCAGGAGCATTATTAACAGTTTTCTTATGTTAAACTCCAATTCAAGTTAAAATTTCGGGGCACTCGGGGAAACCAAGCAAATTTAAAACGGCGGTTACAAAAATCCAGCCAAAACGAAACCCTAATTTGGGAAGACTCAATTCAACGGTTGCAAAGAAAGAGAGAAGAAAACGGTACCTGGCAGCAGGTGTGGGATCAACGGTGCCCCCAGAGCTGATAACCTCTTCTCTCATTCTCTCTCTCTCTCTCGCTACTATCTCAGTTTCCGAAGCAAATGAAATTCATGAGTGAAAGAGTGGCATGGCAGCTTCGGTCATATATGCAATGTAAGTGTCAGCGCGTGGCCACCACTGCGAATACGAATATACGATGCCTATGCCATGGTGTCTGCTTTATTTATCTATCAACGAATATTCATACTGTCGTTCAAACGTTAATCGCCGAATTAAATTTTTAAAACTTAAAAATATATTATAAACATATTTCTGCGTAATTATAAATATATTTTTATTAAAATTTATTGATAGTTCTTTAACTAGTGTTCTTAAATTTTTTTTAGGAAGAACACACAATTTTAGATCTTCAACCATGATTTTATCATTAATGTTTAACTAACTAAATATAAATTATTATCAAAATATATTTGTATTTTAAGATATTAAATATTATTTTACATATGAACGTTTTTTGCATAATTTTAGATGTATGTTTTTTACATACTTATTTATTTTGTATAAGTATCGTTGATTTATTCATAATTTAATTATTTAAATTACAATACACAACACTTTCATACCTGATTTCATTATATTGTTTTAAAAAAATCTTGTAAAATAAAAAAGTTTGTGTATTATACAGGTACTTTATTAGTATTTATCAGAAAACTATAACAGACATAATTATATTTGATTTCTCATGTTTAATTTTAAAATTTTGATAGTCAGTATATATGTATGTGTAGTGAGGAAATATCAACCTGTATTTACACTGGTTCTACTTATTTGCCCATTATTAATAATTTTTATTAGATAGTTTTGGTTTAAAATTGGTCATCAAATTAAATTAAAATTATTTAATATTTTATTTATGTATATTAAAATAAATATAATATATTAAATGTATAAAATAAACATTATTTAGCTGTATTTTTATAATTATTTAATTTTAACATAATTTAATTCCAATTATTAAAGTAATATATATTTATAAATAACACCTAATTTAATTCCAATTCCAATTGTTGTGGTGTAAGAATTTGTTTAATATTTTACTTATATCATATAAATAACGCCTAATTTTTACACGGTAAAAGTTATTAAATGTTAAATAACATAAAAAAAAAAGTATAAGGATATAAATTTTTACTATAAAATTCAGTTTTAAGACAATCCAATATCGACGTCTCGATCATCGATAATAATATGCCAAACTTCAGTTATTCTTAAAACTTCAACATTAACTGCATCTCACAATAACAGATATTTCCCGTATATTGCAAGTATAGTCGGAGATTTCAAAACCTTTGCTGCAACTAATTATGGTTCAATAGTAAAAACTTTACTGTATGGTTGACAGAGAATATCTCAAAACTAAGCTAATATAAAATTAGTTGTGTAACACCCATTATGTACACTATTAAATTTTCAGCCTGCAGTTAGTAAATAAGTTGGAGTATATAAAATTTATCCATAAATAACATATTTAATAAAATTATGGTCAGATCGTATTTGAACATTTTAAGTTTCAAATTATAATTTAAGTACAAATAATTTTTTTATGAATTAAAATAATGATTTGCTAACTATAATCTAAATACACTTTAAATATATATGGTTAAAAAATAGAAAATTGTGAAGTTAAAATAATTATAAAATAAATAAAACTTAGGTGCAATTTTATAGATATTATTGATATTAATTTTTAATTAAAATTAAGTTTTACTTAATAATTTATTAATTTTTAATATTTATGTGCTAACATTTAAGATCATTTAACTAAACCTTAGACCGAAGAATAACACTCGTACCATTTATGCCATCTAAGTTTTGTTTTATACGATATTATATGCCAACAAATTCCTTTCTGTTTTAAGTGGCTTTAAACAAAATCTTCGTCAGAAAATTATAGAAAGAAAAAGTGTAACAAACACGCTTATGACATGTTCAATGATCCCAAGAAATACTGAGTGTCAAATGGAGGCCTACATCAATGAAATGCCATGACAGACAATTGCCCACACTCAGGAACGCAAACAAGGGAAGATGTGAGAAACAAACTATGTTGCAGTTGATGTACCGGCACCTGCATTTGATGTACTGGCACCTGCACGGGTAACCGGAACAGAAATCCCGTTAGAAACCTACTAAAATTATTTCTAATTTTAGAAAAATTAAATAAGAGTTTTTCAAAAATAAATTAAACATTTATAATATATAAAAACTTTATTTATTTTTTATAATAATTTTTTCTCATAAAAAATTCTCAAAAATTTTAGTACAATAAGAAAACTAACCATCTCTTTCTACATCGACAGGCTCTGCTTTCCAAAGGATATCACTCAGCCCAGTAGATAGATCCTTGTAGAACTGCGAACATAACCAACTTTGTGAAATTATTTAATGTGTGAAAAATACAGGAGGGAAAAAGGGGTGGTTTTGGTCTTTAAAACCGATGCAAGTTCATTAAAGCTTACCGTGTGAAATTCCGGAGTATCTCCTCCAGCCTTCCGAAACTCCACCATGTGAAATGGAGAGGCCACCTCAAATATCTGAAAAACAGAATTTAAGAGAGCATTAGAAATTAAGTCGGAACATGCCTCGCTGGTGAGTGAAAAACATGTACCTCACTGGCTATTGTCAGATGACCTTTACGACCAGCCCTTTCCCCTCTTATCCTCAACTGAGAAGTATAATAAGAAATTAGCATTGGCAAGTATTTAAGTTGCAAGTAATTTTATTATTCTGAAATTCAAACGCATGCGTGTGTTAGAAACAATAAGCACATTTTTTTTTACCTTGTTGTTGCTCATCCTAACATGAAAACCCATAGATGCTGCGGCCTGCTCAATTCTTGGAACTATCTGATTTGTGGAACACCTATATATGGATTTTGTTTCCCTTTTAACAAGTACCTAGATGCCAAAAAGTCAAGTCAACAAATCAAATACAATAATATTTTAACTAATTGAAAATTAATTCAGAAACAAAATTTAGAAGACTAGTTTAGTAATATTTTACATGCTGGAAAAAGTAATGGAATGAGCAAATTAATTTTTTTCTAAATACTCACTCGGCTGAAAAAATTTCCAAAAAGGTTGAAGCCCAGAGGGGTAGACAAAATCTCAAACGCATTCATAGGGACAGCTGCTGTAGGCCTCTCTTGTCGCCTCTCCACAAGATTTTGTGGATTCTGTGCACCAAAGAGCACATCGACAACAAGATTAGAATCCAAAGCTCTGTTGAGCATAATTTAATCGAGATTAAAAAAAAAAAAAAGATAAACCAAGAAATCTTACAATTGATGTACCCAAACTAGTACTTGGTTCATCAAGAGCAATATTTTCCAGCGAAAATCTAGGAGGTTGATAGTCTTTCTTGAACCACTCATGGTCATAGATCTCCTGAATTGTAATACGCTGTTTCGTGCCATCAGAAGAGAGAAAATTAACATATTTAGTTAGATTAGTAGCAGGGTCCAACCAATTGAACAAAAATAACGCAAGTCGTTACTGTATCAGGGTTGGGATCGATGATTCTCTTCAGTAGTCTCTTTACACTTGAAGAAATATATGATGGAAAAGTGAGCTTAGCCTGGAAAATCTGCAAATTACAGTAAATTAGAAAACCTCATGAGGCAGAACTATCATGAAACAACACAAGAATTCAAACAAAAGATAAATAAAATAACTGAACACAAATTTAAAAGGAGGTGTTGCTGAAATTATCATATATTCCAGAAGATAAATGTGTTATTCTAATTAACCAACCGTAGCATTATTGGGAATCACCTTTTGACATAAAAGGAAGCTGTTGTTGTCTTCGAAGGGCACTTGACCAGCCAATAAGGTAAAAAGAACAATACCACATGACCAGATATCAGCCTTTGCACCCTCATAGCCTTCTTTTTTCATCACCTATAGATACAATAACAATGTGTGATAAATTAATTGAATTTCCAGCTTATGATATAACGATGCGGTTAGCATAGCAGCAGCAAAAGCTAATTTACCTCGGGGGCCATAAAACGTGTTGAACCGCACATTGTGTGAAGCCGCCCATCTTCCTAATAAAGATAGAATAATTAAAAATCAATTCATTTTTTGAAAAATTACTGACATTATATATTAATTTTTAGCATGCAGCCAAAGACACATAATAAAAACTTGTATATAATAAGCTTTTACAAAAAAATAACAAGATATCACAAAATTCAATACAAGAATAACATTAGATTCTAAAATTTTAGGATATAAACATATTATTTCCTGACGTCAGAAAAATCGTATATATATATATACTAACTCGAAGCTGTTGAGGCAGTGCACTTAATCCAAAATCTGATACTTTAAGTGAGCCATCAGCTGCAATCAACAGATTCTCCGGCTGTAATAGATAATAACTAAATGTTAATTAACGTGAAACAAATTAAGAAACAACATTAACGATTTAAGGACATATACCTTCAAGTCTCTATGGAAAACACCTCTACTGTGACAGAAATCGACTGCACATATAAGCTGGTGAAAAAATTTTCTTGCTTCGTCTTCACGGAGACCATGGCCATTTACTTCAAATTTATCGTAGAGTTCACCACCATCGACACGTTCCATTACCATATATATATATTTCCTGCTAGCCATCACTTCGTATAAACGAACGACGTTGGGGTGTCTAATCATTCGCATGATTGATATTTCTCGTACTATGAGGTCCATGGTACGGCTCCGCCGAACTCTTTTTTTGTCGATGATTTTGATGGCGACACTGGCCTCGGTGTCTATGTGACGTGCTGCTTTGACGACGGCGAAGTTTCCCTCACCCAAGGTTTCACCCAGTTCATATCTTCCCACTCTGATAGCCCTCGTAGTGCTGCGAAGTGTCGCGTGCCCCACCTGTGACGGTGACTGTGACGGTGACCGTAATGGTAACTGTGACGGCATCGATCCTCTTCTTTTTCTCTATCTATCAAGAATAACAACAAGAACAAGCATCAACCAACGGAAAAGCTCTTTTTCTACTCTAAGACGAAATTCATTCGATTACTGTCATCTAATCTTCTGTACATGACTTGCGAATCAAATTAAACTGAATTATGCTGTTGATTCCTCTTAAGAGTACAGAAAGCTAAATCAATAATACCATGAATCTGTAACTAAATTTCCCGCCAAGATGTAACAGCTAATCAGTTGTACTGACAACTAACAGAATAACAAAATAACAGAATAGCATTGTGTTTGCATGTTACTTGAAGAAATTTATTTATAATAAAAAATGCAAAGTTGAAATATCTGGATTTATTTACTCAGTATAATGTCTTGATGGTTGAAAACTGAACGTGCCTTGTATGCTGCATTTGACTTTAGGTCCAAATCGACCTAAAAGCTCTAACCATTGACATGTAACTGATCAATGTTTGTTGACACCAACCAAAAAGTACCTATCCTTTTTTACTTTACTTTTAGTTTGCTAATCGTACTATCCTTTTTGGATAATTTTTTAAAAGTGTACAATTACTTCTAAAAAATTAATTTTGAAAGTGATTTACAAATCACACCTAGAATTTAATTTCTGAACGATAATCAATTTTGAAATTAAAACTTTAGAAAAATAAAAAATTCATTTCAAAATTAAAATATTAGTATTTATGAAACACTCTTTTAAAATTAAATTTTTAAAAATGAAAAAGCCTAAGAGTTAAGTTTTGAGGCTGTTTTTGTATCGAAACCCACGATCCAAATAGCAAAAGGGCCAGGGTTTGTAGGCCCAAAATCGAAAACAATTTTTGTAGACAAAAAAATTGGTCTGAATCGTTAAACCCCTCTCTCCAGTGAAAGGGTTTTTCATTATTAGGAAAAATGACGGAAGAAAGGCAACGGAGCATGGCGGTTCTGCCATGGATGCGAGACCCCATTGACGTGACTCTCTGTGAAGAACTCCCTCTCCATTCCGTCCCTCTTCTCCACCCGACGTACTCTCTCTCTCTCTCTCTCTCTTTCCCCTTTCTATTTCAGACACATCATCACGCATTTCATCGCTGTTTCTCAATTTCCACTCACAGGTTGCAGCTCGCACTACAGAACATGGGAATCTCCAAGCTCTTCCCCGTTCAGGTCGCCGTTTGGCAAGAGACCGTTGGACCGGGCAACTTCCGCCGTGACATTTGCGTCAACTCACCCACCGGAAGCGGCAAAACCTTGGCCTACGCGCTCCCTATCGTGCAAATGCTATCCACGCGCGTAGTTAAGTGCCTCCGTGCCTTGGTTGTGGTTCCCACCCGCGACCTCGCTTTGCAGGTTAAACAAGTCTTCGACGCCGTTGCGTCTCCGTTAGGCTTGCACGTTGGTTTGGCCGTTGGTCAATCTTCCGTCGCCGACGAGATTTCTAGCCTCGTCTACGTGCCTGGACACGATCCTGGCACGTGCTTTGATCCGCCCGATGCTTTGCTTCGGTTCCAAAGCAAGGTGGACATATTGGTGGCAACCCCTGGAAGACTCATGGATCACATCAATAGCACTAAAGGTTTCACACTTGAACATCTTTATTATCTTGTAAGTGTAGTTATATAGACTGTTTAATTAGAACCTCTATTTTCCACGGTCGTTGATGAGATTGGTTATTCCAAATGTAAAATAATAATGTGTTGAATATTAACTGCTTTTTAGTAGCATGTGACGTTAATGAGGTAAATAATGTCAGGTGGTTGATGAAACGGATCGATTGCTCCGGGAGGCTTATCAGTCCTGGCTGCCTACTGTGCTGGAATTGACTCAATTTAGTGATGATGTTTTTCGACCAGCGGATTCTTTGTCCCCTTTCTCTCTTGGTGGTGCATTAAGAACCAGAAGAAGATGGTGAGTTCGGAGTTGCATGTTCATTCATATATCATTTAGTATTTTCCTTTATTCAGTCACATGTTTTAGTTACTTATGTCATATAGCCAGCATAAAACACAGACTGGGCATGAAGCTAACATCCATAGCATTTTTTCTTCATGAAAATCCATAATAATCGATGATTATAAATACATATAAACAATTGAAATTCAATAAAAAGATATTTGTCATGTGTGACAAATATATAAAGAATCAGCAATGCAGGAGTATTTGTTGTTAATGGTTGGGTGTGAAACACAAAAATCCCGCACCAAATGGTGACTGTCTCCTCTTACTAACCTGGGTATAGGAGCAAGTTCTTTTAAATTCCAATTTTGTCAGATCTTCCCAAAGGAACTAATTTAAGAAGTGGTATACTCCTATCCATCAAACAGACAAGGGGACTGAGTTCTGATCTTGAAGAAAAACAAACATAAGGCTTTATTCTCCTGCTAGATGTAATCATGTAACTACACGCATTTGGTTGCTTATCCATGATAACATAATAGCAATAAATTGTTAGATTTTTTTCAAATGATGGAATTTAAAATGTTACTTCCACCCTTCAAAATTATTTTATTCTGGTAAGATAAACTATATAGTGTATACACATTCAATTATTTAAATTTTATACGATATATGTTCACTTTTATGGTTGTGAATTTTTATACTTTGCTTTGTTGTAGTAATAGTCTTAGGTAGAACATTCAATTCTCGAAAATAGTATTGGTGACACTGGTAATATTGCAATGTTATGTGTTTTTTATTTCTAAATTTAACCTTTTTCCAGTATTAATATTTAATAAACAGATTATAGTTTTGAAACCTAAGTGGATCAGTATTTGATATATATTTTTAAATAGATATTTTTTCCTTTACCATTTCATTTAATAGAGAATGAATGCTCATCACACTTTTGTGTGACTATGTGTGTTACTATAGTGGAGTAGAGAGGGGGTTCAAGGATAATCCTTACCCTAGGCTGGCAAAGATGGTTCTATCTGCGACATTAACTCAGGACCCAGGCAGGCTTGTTCAGCTTAATTTGCATCACCCTTTATTCCTGAGAGCTGGGAAAATGCGATATCGACTCCCAGAAAATTTAGAATCTTACAAACTGGTATGAAATTTTATGTGGCTTTCATTTCCTATAATTTCAAGATATTATTATGGTTAAATGCCTTCAATTCAATTAGAATTTCCTGATCATAATAGATTTACAATTTGACATCCTACAATGTTATATGATTTTTCTGTTTTACCTTTGAACCCTTTTTCTGCTCTCCAATGTGGGTAAACATCCTTTTACTCTTGACTCTAGCACAAGAATCATACTTGTGTTGCAGTAAGTATTATAATTTACTGGACTGCAAAGAATCATACTCGTTGTGACAAGATTTTAGGATTTATTTTATTGAGTATTTTGGCCTTTATATATTTGCATTTTTATCAGTTTTAACCAAGTTCAAGTCTTTAGTTTTCTCAAAGAAAGGAGTTATGATTTATTGTGTTTTGAAAATCAGAGTGTACTCTGATGTTCAAATTTGAAAGGGATATAGCCTAAAATGTGAAATATTGTGGTTCATTCTCAATGATTGATGTGAGTTGGACTTTTGATGGTATAACAGTGGCCAGTCTAATTCTCAGGTTCATGATTTCATTCTATATCTAAGACCTTAGCATTAGGGCTTGTTGGAAAGTTGGTTCTTAGATTGGTGATCGGAAATAGCTTTTTAAAAAAAATCTAGATATAGAGCATTACAATTCAGTAAATCATGGGAAATATATTTATGATTTTGTTTTGGACAGAATATCGTATTGTTAGATAACTTAGATCTAATGGTTATCCATGATCTAAAATGATTAGTGGTTAAGTAAACATATACATAAGTAGTAAACTAGTCACAGCACAGACTGATATTCTAATAAAATCATAAGTAGTTGGTGGATGAAATAGTCCTATTGTATGTGAAAAATGAGGGAGGGATGTGGATAATTTCGGTCTTCTTTCACACCACACACACATATACATGTATGTATGTAGCTGGCTAGTTTTATTTGATTGAATTTGCTTCTTTGTTGATTTATAAAATTATGGCTCATACCTTGTAATTTTAGATTTTTACTTTTATTTTTATTTTGTAGATTTGTGAAAGAAAGGTCAAACCCTTGTATTTGGTTGCCCTTTTGAAATCCCTGGGAGAAGAAAAATGCATAGTTTTTACAAAATCTGTGGACTCAACACATCGGCTCTGCAAATTACTAAAATGTTTTGGAGATCTGCAAATTGATATAAAGGAGTATTCTGGTCTTCAACATCAACGTGTAAGAAGGTAAATCTTGATTCATTCACTAACAACAATGAAACAACAATAGCGTAGTCCCTTTGATTCATTCACCCTAAACAAATAACAAATATTTTAAGCTGTGTATGCTGCTGAATGATCTGCATTTACACTGCACATATACAAAACTTGTTGCAAAAAAACTTAGGTCATTGGACGAGTAGTGTTTTGAGTAGCTTATTTTTATGTTAAAAACAAGTTACAATAAAAGGTTTACTTAGGGAATTTTTGAAAGAAAATGATTATTCTCCCAAATTTAATGCAAAATAAACATGTCAGCATCGGTCCTTGACAAAAATAAGATGATAATTATCTGCAGTAAGACATTGAATGAATTTCGTCAAGGGGATTTTCAAGTGCTTGTATCTTCTGATGCAATGACTCGTGGAATGGACGTTGAAGGGGTAAGAAATGTTATTAATTATGACATGCCCAAATACATAAAGACTTATGTTCATCGGGCAGGTAGAACTGCAAGAGCTGGCCAGACTGGGCGTTGCTTCACAATGATGGCAGAAGATGAGGTATGATTTCCTTTTGTTGCACTCAGTATTTTTTTGTGCAAGGTCCATGTTTTGACATTTGAGCCAATGGAAGAAGCCACAATATGAGCTCTTAAAGACTACTTACAATCTTTGATTTAATAATTTCTTTCATTATTCTATTAAAACTTTTTACTCATTCATCAACTCACTCAGTTCTTAACTAATATAAGATTAGGTGAGTGGCTTCTGGTTGGTGCAAAACGTATGATTCTTTAAAGGGTTGTCCTTAAAGGTGTGTTGAGGGATTGTATAACTTTGCGTCATTGATGCTTTCTTTCTTCTATGTTTGTTTATATATTTGCTCCTTTTTTTTCAAAATAAATTTATGGAGGATCTCTTATATTGCTAACTGTTTGTATTCATCTTATATGTCTTAATGAATTTCTTCTTTTATCCAATTTCTATTTTGGCTCGAGTAGTTGCCATTCTGTAATTGAGTTTAGTCATCAACATTAGAATCTGTTGGGGCTATGTTTCCTCTTTGACTCATAGCATAGTTTATCAATACTAGAGTATAAATATTCATGTTTTCTTGTGTTGTTTCTTTTAACATTTGGAACCTAAACCTTTCTTAAATTCTTGTCAACTGTTGCCCCATTTCAGGTTCGACGATTTAAAAAGTTGATGCAAAAGGCTGAGGCTAGGTCTTGTCTTGAGCACTCTGTTCCATCCAGTTTGATTGAAGAACTTCATACTACCTACCAATCAGGTAAATTTGTTAAATTTCATCTTAGGTGTGTAGCGAAAACAACTTTCTCAATCATGACTGTCCATGGATACACTATACATCATTTCAACAAGCCATTGACATTGCTTGTTACTTCATGTGGCTTTGCTTAATCTTCATGATCAAACATTGGGAAAAAAATTTCTTGACTTCGATCAGCATTGTGTCCTGCTTCTGTGGATCAGTTGCCTCAAACCAGTGCTTTTTCTTCTGATTAAAGCATGGTTTTTGTATTTTAACTAATTAATTTATGAGGGGTGCTAGCATATACTCTTTTTCTATTAACTAAAATTTATTAAAAATTGCAAACTCTTAAATGGAGCTCGTTAATTAATAAGGTTCAGGACTTACGTAATTTTGTGATTTTTAATAAATTTCTGTCAATTGTAAAATGCACGTTGAGTATATTAATTTCAATTCATTTCCCTATGCCTGGGAAAAGGGATGGAATTCAAGTGTTACATGCGTTTGCTTGAGAAAATTTCTAAAATAAGATAAATTTTATTGTGCATGGACCTTGGACGAGCTAACAATGTTATTTTCCTTTATGCTATTTTGAAGTTACGTTAGATGTTTCGTGTCGTCGGTGTCATGGTTCATTATACTTGTGCATGGACCTTGGATGAACTGAGCGCTTCTTTATTTTCTTTTCCTTTATGCTGTTTTGGATGAACTGAACGTTTCTTTACGTTAGATGTTTCGTGTAGTCAGTATCATGTTCCATTATTTTTATTGGCAGCACTGGCAAAATTTAAGGAGATAATTTTGGAGACACGAAAGAAACCTAAGGATTAGTCTTCTCAATCAATCAAAGAGTGAAAGATGAAAAACATTCACTGGAATAGCGGCTCATTTATGGAATCCACACAAGGGAATCGCTTGTGAACTTTTCACACATCAAAGTTATCCCTGGAAAGATTCAACTAACCATGCAAGTTGTACAGTGGAAATAACAGGCTGAAGCACGGTCTTAAGGGCTTGAACTGTAATTTTGGGGACATATTCCTTGGTGGTGTTTGTTTTCTCCTATTTCTTGGGGCCTTGTACTATCTGATTCTTTCATTGACGGGGCAGATGTATGAGATAAAGCCGAATTTCTGTATCGCAGAAATAAGTTAATCCAGATATATAAGATTTATTTATATTTTTTTGGTGAACAAAGATATTGCATCATTATATATGAATATGTAGTTAACTTTGATTTTTTTATGTATAATTTATTAATTTTAAAATTATGAAAATTAATAGTATTGTAAAGTGATCATCACGTAATCATTTGTTTTGTTTGGGTGAGGATTGAAATAAGAAATTTTAAAAAATAAAGTAATGTAAAAAATATTATTTGAATGAATAACAATAGAAGAAAAAAATAAGAAATATTTCGCTTGTTTAAATGAGTAAAAAAAAGTAAATTTGATAAAAAAAATATTTTTGTAATAATAAATTTAAACATTTTTTTAATAGGTGCTCTTTTTTATTTTTTCAAATTTTTATATTCTATTAAAATTTATTTATTAAGAAAATAATCTAAAAAAAGTACTCTGGTGGTGAGAAATTACACTTGCGGGGCCAACATTATTTTCTCTAATTCTACTACAGACAAAAAATTCAAGACTTCAAGTGACTGGAAAACAATTGCTCTACTAAATTCATTGCTCTCAATTTCTATCTTCTTCAAATCTGGGCATCCTAACAGATGTTTAATGAGTTACCATGAGCTTAACCCTAGGTTTGGTTTAGTGAAAAGAAAATGAAAATGAAGAAAATAAAGAATTTTAAATTTAAAAATAAAAGGAGAAAAATTTTGACCTTTTATTTTTTAAAATTATTTTTTCTTTCATTTGTTCGTTAACTAAATAAAACAACACATCGTTATTTGTATTTTCTTTCCTCTTATCTTTCTGACCGCGAATCATTTATGATATCATTGTATGATGTATTGAATCAAATGAAGTATTTACCATTACTTTGATTTCCTGCAAGTGTGGCACCATGGGACTTGATAGTATGACCCGCAGGATCCTCATCTCTATCCTGCCAACCAAGAAACTGATTTGAGTTAGCATATACCAGTTGACATGATGCTATATAATCATCCCTTGGAACATTTCCTGCCATATTATGCGACTGATTTTCAAACTTATCCCGTACCCAGCACCAGCAGGTAGAGCCTGACAATTCTACACAGCTACCTACACAGCTACCTATTTTTACTAGAATTCTTTACACTAATGATTACACTCAGAAAATTTTGATAAATTGGAAAAAATTAAAGAAAATTTGATTTTTTCCCCCATGAATACTCTTTTAATAAAATTACAGACTAAGGGTATGTTTTTTTTATAAAAATAATTATATGTTTTTAAAATTTAAAAATAATACAAATTTATACTATATTTTATTTTTTTTAAAAAGAAAACTTTTTAAAAAATAAAACAAACATGCTCTAAGAATATGTTTGTTTTCTTTTTTAAAATATTTCTATAAAAATATGTATTATTTTTATTTTAAAAAAAATATTTTTAAAAGAAAAAAAAAACATACTCTGAAACTCACTGCATACCATAAAGAACTTAGAGAACGGAAAGAAAATCGAAAAGAACTTGAATAACCTTAAACGTTATTCAGATTCCATGAATCAATCATCGAACATGTAAACCAATAACCTATAGGGTTGAGTTTGAATTCGGTAATCCTAGTCAGCTTACAATTATTATGTTTGTATTTATATTATATTGTTAGCATTGAAAATAAAAATCCAAAGCGGTAGAGGTACGTCATAATGCGATGGATTATTACTTGGTATTTCCCATGAACAAGCAAAACGAGTTTGCAATTAGTAATTTTCATTATGCACTTCAGATATATACTATATAGGCTTCCTATACTGCTATCCAATTCTCTCTTCGTTTAACATTAAATGTAATGCAGTTGGTTTATCCTTAGAACTACGTTTTTTTTCTAACCTACTGACCACGGCATGCCATTGCCAATAAGCGCTATTAAATGCTGACAACAAAAGCGTTATTAAATGTAGCTCTTAATTAATTTAATCATTTAAGAAGTCAACTAATTTAATAGACTTAATCTTCTATTTCTTCTCGAACCATTTTTCAATGCTTGAAAATAATTTTAGCAGCGACAAAATTGTTAAATGACCATTGATGAAATCTGGGGAAAATAGTTGAAGAAACATATTGAATAAACCACTTATATAACAATACAAGACTTGAATTTGCATTTCCTCAGGTACAACAACAGACGCCAGCGACTAAGAATAAAACTTTTAGTCGATGCTTCCATTTATGGCAATTTAATGTTATGCCAAAACTTGAGGAAATTCTAAGCTCATTGATTGGAGGTCGAGCCTGTACAGCAGAATAGAAGAGCAAGAACAAAGGCAGGCAGACAAAGTCTCTTTACACTCAACTACTCTCTTGTTGATGAAATTCAAACCCATTGAACTATGATACAATGATTACCTAAACAAGAGGGGCATTACATGGACAAAAAGAACTAGCTAGAAGCTTTGCATGGCTTATGGAAACAGCTGCAAAGGTTGTTTTTTCTAGTTGGGCCTGCCTCAATTAAGTGCTTCACTGATTCAAAATAGAGAGCGACCTATGCACTTCCTTCAGGAAGCACCTGCTATTAGCATTTGCAATAGCAGCAGAAGCAGCTGAAGAAGATGCTGCTGCTGCTGCTGCTGATGATGATGATGGGTTTTTTGGGTGTGTAATGATAGAATCATTTGTGCTAATTTCCCTCTCATCTTCAGTTATTGTGTCCAACATCTTTGATGTTCTATGCCTCATCACGGTAACATACTGTGGTGGAGCTACCTCCATGAAGAATCTTGCAATACGTGAATTTGCCATTAGATTGTGATTTCAAAGTGTTTGGGTTTGAAGATGGGTATGAAGCACAAGGCAAGGGATCAATTTATAAAGAATGGGCAGGACCTACTTAACTAGGCTTAGAATGAGTCAAGGGTCTTAATCTTTGAATGTTAAATCAAACTTTATTTGCTAGTGCCGCCTCCATCTTTTGATATTAATTGTGTATGCAATGCTGCTTTCAAGACCTTTGGTGTAGATAACCTTCAAGTGGGACCAACTTTTGTATGTGTCAAAACGTGGATGGAAAATTTGATATCCATAGGAGATATGGTTTTTGTTGGGTACAGTGTGTTCCAAATTTACACTTTTTGGGTTTTAGTGAAAGGGCATGTGAATATGCCACGTTTCGCTTGTCGGGGAAGTGACTTAGACTTGGATTGTGATGGGTGTTAAAGGAGAAATTTTAATCGAACATTTGTTTATTTTATGGTGGTTGAGTTTGCCTTCAAAGTTTCAGTGACCCCGACTTGTTCTTGAGCTAAATAGATATTGGGGAAGCACGTTTAGCTGACGTAGAAAACCGCTGCCAAGTGTAGCATCGGAGTTAATTGGCGGTGAGGTTTGGGCAACATCATTAATGGGACCAAGATTTTTCTGCAGTAACTATAGACTTGGTTCATTAATGCAAAAATGAACTACCTGCAAGTTGCATTTTGCAGAAATGTTCTTATAATGGCATCAGTTAAGATATATTGTATCGGAATGCATTTGTTTCAACTTTGAAACCGATTTTATGGTAACTTTTTCTTATGCAATGAATATTGTTTATTTTACAAACGATTGATTGATTACGAATGCCAAATGGCATAAATTTATTTTTATTTTGAAATCTTAAACTTAAAAGATTACTGCTTTATAGCTAAAATAAATACATTATACTGTTATAATTTTGTTATTCAGAGTATACGTAAAAGAGATAATTCTATTGAAGTTGAAAATACTCTTGCAAACGATTAAACTCTTCCGCTGGATATTTAATAAGTTGTATTTTGTAGCTTAAACAATGTTTGATTTATTTTAGAATAAATTGATAATGAATATATGAATGTCACATTATTAATAAAATAAATAAAAACTTCTAAAAATTATAAAATTAATATAGATTTTAAAAATAATGAACAAAAAATTAAATTAAAATTTTAAATTTTTATATCTCTCGTTCTTACGTGTAAGGTTGAATATATATATATATATATATATATATATTAAAATAGGTGTCATTGAAAAAATAAGAGAAGATGCTATAAGTAATATATATAAGGATAGAAAGTGCAACTAGCATTACAGTTTAGGGAAATAAAATTATTTTTATCCTTATAATTTTTTATAAATTCTTGTCTAGATTTTTGTTCCGTTTTTATCTTCAGAAGACGTAAAGTTTCCTTTGACTTCTAACACAGAATCTATGTATTTTTTTAAAATAAATATTTTAATTTTGTTGGTCTTTCAAAATAACATTATACATTAGTATGTTAGTTTTTAAATTCTTTTTCTCACCAAATTAGTCTATCAAAAAAGTTAATTCATCACCAAAATTTGGATTTTGTTGATACAAAATTAGTTCTTTCATGATTGTCATCACTTTTAACCTTTTATATTTTAAATATTTCATACGCTTATTCAGTAACATTTTTTAAAAATTAATATGATACTATTTTAAATTTGCAAATGATTAATTTAATAATTAAAATTTCAAATAAACTATTGTGCGATTTTATGTATTTGAGTGAAGAATTTGGGGGAAATGTGATTTTTCTTTTTAATTCGTATATAATTTTTAAAGAAAATATATTTATGAGATTAAATCCAATCAATATTCCATTGGGTCACATGAATATTAAATTTTAAATCTTAACTGTATATATTATCTGTTTTAATTAGCTAATTAAGATTAATTTTCAACATGGGAGGGGGATAATTTTTTTACTATACATTTAAATAAATAATTTGCAATGAAAATGTTTTACCCAGCTTATTTTGGATATTTCTTCTCCTAAAGGGAGAAGTTTGTTTAAATAGAGTTTTAAGAGAAAGAGTTTTTAAATAAGGATTTCTTTAATTGAAGACAACTTAAATGAATAAAGAAGAGCTTTCAAACATGTTAGTTTTAGGAACTTTTGAGATTTGACTTGTATTACTTCTTTTTGCTTTCTATATTTTAAATTATAGGAACCGAAATTACAAGATTTAAGAAATTTTAACATAAACCCTAGGAAAATTATAGAATTAGCTAATACCTTAAAATTCAAAGTGCTTAATTATAACTTTAATTTTTAGTAAATTTTAATCTCCAAAAGTAATTAGCGTAAACACTAGTTGAATGATGGACGGGGAAATCAAAGAGTTGAAATTATAAAGAGTTTAAAGTTTTATGAATAAGAAATAATAGTGACATGCATGCGAAATGATGATGCTAAGGCTAACGCAACATCTAAATCATCATTTCCTTTTCCATCGTAACTACGCTCCATAAACTTCCTTTCCGTTTTTATTCCAATAGCGTGTCATTCAGGGCACTTAGTCACTCACTCAATCACCTCACATCATACATTGTGGTCGATACACATTGCCCTTTTAAACTTTTTCAGCCATTAATGATAGAAAATTAGTAATACATGCAATTGTGTTATTTGCAGGATATACAGTTTAACAAATTGGTAATACCATTTTCCAACAAATTAACTCGCAAGCTCTTTTAGTACTAATCTAATATTTTGAACATAAGAATCAATTTCATAGTTTCTTTCTTTCATTAGCTTCTCACATCACATGGAGACAAATACTCAGAAAATGATCGATGTGGACGTGGTGGACCAATTGGTTAATTTGGAACGGAAGTGGAATATATATATATATATATATATATATATATATATATATATATATATATATATATAAGAAATTAATATAAGTACGTACTCGATCATTCTGGATAAGGATGCAGAATACCCCAACGTGCTAATCTGTCTTCCACCTTCATCGGTATTCTTAGCTATTGGTGAGGGAAATGCTCTTTGAATTGTTCTTTTAATTTTAGAGTGGATTTTTAAGTTGTGTATATATGAAAAAGACAAAAATAAATGTAAACCAGTGTCAACTATTTAAAGGATTAAAAGTAAAAAAATATATTTAAAACTACAATAATGCACTTTTTTTAATGATTTTTAAATGTAAATTATTAATATAAATGTTATATATTTATGCGAATAGTTAATATGATATATTAAATTAAAAAATATTTGTCTAATAAAAACATTAATATATATTATCTATACATTAAATATTAGTATAATACATTATTTTTTATAAATATTGAAAAACGATGCTAACATTTCTTTTGTTAAATAAAAATTATACTTATAAAATTTATTTTAACAATGAATAACTTGTGTTTACTTATAAACAATAATTATTTTATAATGAACAGTTCAATGATGATCAGTAGCATTGATACCTGGCTCAAAAATGGAGGCATAATGAATCGACCACAAAGAAAATGAAATCTCTGTCTTTAAAATGAGCAGATAGATATTGTTTAGGTTAAAAAAGGTTCTCTCCATCTTTTTTTCTATAAATGTACCCTGTTGCTCGAACGAGATTCTACATATATAGTAGTGTATCATTCTATAACCACTAGGTCCAATACAGTATCTGAATTCTCTGTTTATTGCACGAAATTTAATATTAATATTAATCGTAATCATTTATTATTTTAATGGTCAAAATTCTTTCTAATAATAATGTCATTGCAAAGATTCTTATCCATCTATTTAAATTATATTAATAATTAAGATCGATCGTAAACAATATTCTGAAATGCAGTTTCTAGGAAAGAGTATAACTAGTTGTTGGAATATAGAGGCATCGAAATCGAATATATCATCATCTTCCCTTCGACCAAGACGCCCATAAGCATAAGCATCAGCCCATGTGGCGTATGAAGCAGGGTATAGACGAGAGAAAAAGACTTGACAAGCTAAAGAAAAATTGGAATTCTTGTAGAGCCATTTTTGTTAAGGCTAAGGCTAATCCATTCGCATAGAGGGCCACATGAAGCAATCGTTGCAATCAGTCAGGAGTGGAAAAATGGAGTCACCACCCACAAATATTTAATAGTAAGTAAAAGGAGACAAAGAAGCATATGAATAGTGCCAAACTTCACATTTAATTCATAAAGCAAGTAAGGCCATGTAGCTGCTTTATCGTTGTCAATTCTCTAACACCATTCCCATTATGCATGTTACCAACACATGCCTCACTCATCTCCCTCATCCCATGCACGCATTGCAGTTCTAAGGACGCTATTTACAATGAAAATAAGGTAACATTTACTAGTCATTCATGTTTAGTTGTTAAAATATAATAAATTTAAAAATTTATTAATATAAACTAAAAAATCTTATAAAATTTGTAAGTTATTTTATATACACTTGGTAAACTTTTTCAAACAATTGCTTGCAATAAATAAAATTTGTTGAGAAATATCTTCTCCAAATGTTAGAAGCCCTAGAAAGCAAGACACCGGCAGACCTCAGTGCAACGACTAATCACCATAGAGCACGCGAAGCAAAGGTGCCGTCACATATTAATGTATGATAGTTCAGAATAATATATATAATTGAAATGAGAAAAAATTGTCGAAATTACTTTTGCATTACAATATTTATTTCTTAAATTAAGCAAGGTTATTTTTTTATGACTAAATCGAGTGGAGAGGAAGGATTTAACACAGAAAATAAAAGTATCGTCATCATATTAAGTAATTGAATAAGTCACGTGAATATAGATTCAGACTTTACATTAACCTAAAATCTTAATATTTTATTTGAGTTAATTCTTGAAAAACAACTTATTTAATGATAACTTCTATTTTTAAGTTTTTAAATAAAAAATATCTTATATATTTAAAAATATTTTAATTTCATGTTTTTAAGTTTCTGCAATTTTAAAAAAATTATGTTGATTTTTTTCACCCCTGCTTCTTCTTTCATTCCTTACTCTTTAATTTTTTT